GAACTACTACAAATAATATACAAATCGAGAGATAGCTATACTTATCTTCTACCCAATTCGCGATCGAGAGAGAGAGCTCACAAAATCGTTATAAAACATACAACCTGGTTTAGTCGTTGTTCGTCTTCTTCTCTGTAGGCAAGGGACACTTTGGAGATAAAGTTCATTTACTTCTTCGTATGGGAGATCATTATGTGCACAAAATCCAAGTATGTTTTCTAAGTGCTAACTCTGGAATTTTTCTGTATGTGACTCGTCTAGGGACGTTGGTCATCAGGAGGAAAACGTATGTGGAGTTTGGACGCTTCCAGATCTGTCGCTGAACTCCTCGAATTCTGACAAATTCCCTGTATATCTGCTGATTTCGACCAATCATCGGCCAGTAACTCTTTCATGAGAACGGATGAAAGGGGAATGAATGAGGGGTAACCATTTCCCATCTGAGCAGGATTTTAACCAGATAAGGGAAAGTCAGAGGATGTTCTAACTTTGGTGAAAGGAAGTAACATCTGTTATCTGCCTTTTCCCACGTTAAAACATTATTTTTCTCACCAAAAATGAAGTAATATTTGGTGACAATATTTAACATAATTAATAAATTATTAATTTAGACCCAGGGCCTTTCAGGTCTCACATTATTTGTTTTAATCATTTTAATGTGAAATTGTAAGATTTTTATAAAAAATAAAACTATTATATAGATTGATGATAATGTTGATTAAAAATCTCTATATATTTATATTGGCTGGCCAAAAAGTAGTTACACATTAGAATTTATAAGTGATGTACTTATTTATTATATAGGGTAAAGCAAAAGTTAATACAGTAGAGCATCGATTATCTGAATACCAATCAACCAAAACATTGGTTAACCAAAAGCAATCCAGTCGGCAAAATCAAATTTCCGCTAGTGCTGTGGCACTGCAATATTTGGCTTTGTTTTGGACTACTCCAGCATTATTTTTGTTGGTGTGCATGTTTTAGCTGACAGCACTGGCATGACCATATTGTATCATTAAAAATTATTTCTTTATTTTGCACAAACAAAATAAATATATTGAAATAAAAAATATAAAAACAAATTATATTTCAGAAGTTAATCTAGTATCATAAACATTCTGATTCAGCATGGCACACGTTAAGAGGGTACTTAAGGAAGCCCGAATATTTGAATGAGGCTTCTTTCCCCCATCATAAGTAGTGTGTTTTGCTTCAGCTCATTGAGAATATAGCCCAAGCAGCTGACATCTCCAGATAAACCCAAGAAAAAGAAAGATTTTTGCTTGTTTTGTGTGGTGTTTTTCTGAGGACTGTGTTGTCGGAACGTTGTGTCATGCTGAATCAAAAATATTTTTGATACTAGATTAACTTCCGAAATATATTTTTTTTGTTTTTATAATATTCAATATATTTATTTTGTTTGTGCAAAATAAAGAAATAATTTTTAATGCTACAATAGCCACAATTATTATTTAAAAAAAAATTTTCATTAGGCTTAACATTGACAAAAAATCAACACAAAGCAACACACAATGGAAAAAAATTTCAACAGGAGATAGGTTAATATATTTTTCATACATGATCAGTTATCCAAACAACCTAGTGCCAAATTGTTTTGGATAATCAATGCTCTACTGTAGTTGTATTTATTAATGCAGGATAAAATAAAATGCAAGAGGCAATCAAGATATAATATTAATGCAAGATGTAATCAATTAAAAATCAATTAATAGATACAGTGGTGCCTCGTATAACGTACACCTCGAATAACGTACGCTGCAAATAACGGACTTTCTGTTTGGCCGTTACGTGACTCGAGCAACAGACTGGCTGCGGACAACGGACTTTCCGTTCGGCAGTTACGTGAGGCAAACAACGAACTTTCTGCGAACAAGTGCGAATGATGTTTCCACTCTTTTGCCATTGCTAATGACAATCTGCTATTTTTATAATATATTAGTATTATTAGAATATATAATTAGTATATCTGAAGTACAGAGCTCCCGTTGGAATTCGGCTTGCTCCCTTGTTTATTACGTACATCACCTCAGTGCAAGGTATTTACATTTATTCAAGTGTTGTGCAAATAATGACTTCTAAAAAACAGAAAGGTGATTTCAATTGAAACAAAGCAAGAAATCATCAGAAGGAGTGAAAGTTGACGAAAAGTTCCTTGTCAAATGGGGAGAGGTTCAGGAGTTTACCAGCACTCATTATCCAAACACAGCTGAGGCCAACAGGATCAATGATCTCTACAATGACACCCTTGCCCGTCATTTCCAACAGGTGTTGGAGAAGACAGAGAAACAGACCACCTTGGACCTGTTTTTCAAGAAGCCATGTGCCAAAAAACAAAGGATGAAACAAGTGAAGTTGACCCTGCAACCTCCGGTAGCCTCTCCTGAATCTGACTCCGATTAATTTAAACAATAAAAAGATACCTGCTGCAATGTGTAAAAAGTCTGTATCTGTATGAATGTGTAAAGAAAGTGTTCCTCTACCTCCTCCTCAACATCTGACTACCCGTCATAATTGATGACTGCTCCATTTTCATTTTTTTTTTTTATGGTACAGTACGGTTATTTTATGCTGCGGAACGAATTATATGTTTTAACATGTATTTCTATAGGAAAGTGCGTTTCGTATAACGGACTATTCACTTAACGGACGTGCACCTGGAACGGATTAAGTACATTATACGAGGCACCACTGTATATGTTATCCCAATCATGTCTCATTCTATAAATTATAATTATGCAGAACATGGGTTTTATCAGTTAAAACATGAAAAAGAGTTTCTTCAACTGATAACTAACATAAATTGTAACATGTAATATACAAAATAATTATAATATGTAATATTACATATAACTGAGTAACATATTACACTAGGTACTGAAATAACACATGTTAATGATAAGCAAACTAGTAATATACAATTTATTCTCATCTAAATTTTTGCAATATAACACTAAAAGAATACACTTTATATCAGTGTTGAACAATCTTTTCTGTACACGGGCCGCATATATTTTTTCTTACAAAGTTTCTTACAAGTTTTAATTAAGCCTGCCGAGTACTATTACATATTATACTATAATATGTAATATTACATATTACCGAGTAACATATTACACTAGGTACTGAAATAACACATGTTAATGATAAGCAAACTAGTAATATACAATTTATTCTCATCTTTTCATTGGTCAAGTTGTTTTCTGTTAACTGGACTCCATTCAATCCAGCTTTAGAAAAAACGATGTTTAATTTCACATTTTTTACAGATAAACCTTATAAACATATTCATTGTAATATTAAATACGTGTGAATTACGAAATAAAATATCGATTTCGCTAAAAATAGTAGTAAAATGACTGGCGCCCAGTTAACAGATAATTACCGAATGTTTTCATCACGAATATCGATCGGCTTAATTAGGGTTGCATAATGGCAGGAGACTGAAAACGGGAAAAATTACGTCACCAAAAACACGGGGGCCGCGGGTTGCTTATAACTGCTTGAAATTTTCCGCATCAATCATATAAATATAAAAGTTCTCAAACTATTCTTAGACTTCGTTATTAACAATGTAAATAATTTCTAAATACTGTACCGCCTTGAAAAATACTGCTCAATTGCATATTTTCAAATGGGAGATTATTATTTCAGTTACGGGAAAATAATTTTTTGTCTGAAATTTCAATTGCAGACTAAGGAATTTTTATAACTAAACTAAACAAAAATCGTTTAAAAAGGTTAAAATGTACCAAAAAGAAGCTAATATCTCATTGAGATTTTTCGAATGATTTTAATAAATGAACGATTTTTCATTCAGATAAAACCCATTATTAATTTTCAATAATGAAAATAAATATTTAAATTAGTATTAACATTTACTTTGCTTAATTTATTTTATTTGATATATATATTATTTTTTATTAAATATTTCCTATTAAAATGTTTACTTACTTCCAACTTAGACTGGATATTATTCAAAGAAATGAAAAATAGAAGTGAAAAAGAATAATTTTCGCAATGAATTCGTCATTGAAAGGAACGGAATCTATAATAACTCAAAGCTGTTTTCAACCAATATCAGACGAAAACTGGAAAATTTTTTATAATGTTATTCTAATTGCAATTGTGCTCTTATTAAGTTGTTTGATTGTTGCCTTGGTTAAAAATATCGTCAACCTTCCTCATACAGTAATATTCATTTTTGAGGGAATAATTTTCGGCTTGATTATCGAAAATATAAATGTCGGATTAAAAACGAATGATATTTTTCGTNATTGTTTAATTTATATTAATATGTATCACTTAAAAAATTTTTAATGAAGATATTTATCCTAATTATGAAAATATACTAGCATGTTTTTTAATTTTTGGAACCTAACCCTCCTTTTCGTATTAGTTCTTTGTTTCGTATAACACGGATTCGCATAACATGGATTCGCATAACACGGCAATTTTTTGGAACATAACTACCGTGTTATACGGGGGTTACCTGTACTTATTTTAAAATATTTTATATACCATTAAAATATTCTACATGTATACTTGCAAAAGAAGCTAAGCTAAAACAAGAAACAAATAATAAGTATATGTTTAATTAAACAATAGCATTTTTATTCAAGAGTTGAGCTAGGTAGAAGTTACCTGAATGTCATCTGAGAAATTCATTAGTACATGAATATTCATTATTCATATTCATTAGTATATGAAGTTGTGATCATCTCTGGAAGACCACAACTTCATATATAAGAGACAGGGCAATTTTTTAGCTTTTTTTAAACAAAATTTATGTTTCATGCGCCATAAAATACAGTAAACCAAAATATTCATTTAAATTGTACATTTAATTGTAGTTAAATGTTCAGTTTTATTCAAAAATATTATTTCATTTTCATTAAGGTAAAATACATTTCTAGCTATATCATTAAAATTTACAAATAAATTGTAAATAGAATACACTTAAATAAATATCTCTCACTTACCATATAATGCATAGATGATCAGTAGAAACCCAAACAGCTGGAATAGAATTTGTCTAAAAACATTTTTATAATTCAATGAAATAAAAATCTTAATACATAAATAAATTTATTTTAATAAATAATTTATTAAATTTTATCATCATAATGTTAACTATTTTTGATATTACACATTCATTTTTAATTCTTAAATTAAAAACACTAAAAACAACTTTGACATTTCATTAATCATTAATTTTTTCCTAGACTTGAAAATACTTTTAATTATTTAATGTCCTTGCAAATTTCATCATTTTATAGCTGTATTCCAAGAAAGCATATAAATGATATCAAACTTTTATACAAATTACACAAAGATAAATGTTTTTGCCAATAAAAAATTGTTCTTGAAGATTATAGGCAAGAAATTGTGATAATTAATAAATATATTATAAAAACAGTTTGTAGAAGACAAGTTATAATTTATTGCATTTTAACAAATAATTCATTTTCTAATATTTACAATATTTAATAACAATTTTAATCTCAAATGTCAAATATGAGAACTTATGAAAAATGAATAATTCATAACTATCAAATATTTCATTCATTAAAAAATTCTGCTAAAACAAAGTTACAAAAATTAATATGCTTACATGAACATTGATATCATTTTGCAGATTATAGGAAGAAGGTATAATAGTTAGGTCACTTCTTACTAACAAATCTCTGTTTCCACCAGCAATGGATATAAACGAAAGATGCTGCAATTCACTGTAACGTTTTCTCTGCCATTCAATTTGTAATTTATCATAATACATACTTATAAATGGATCCATTGCAATCACTGTATAGTAAGAATAATAATAATATTTTATTAATTAAATGTACAGTAAACAAATAAAATTCTGGCATAAGATTAATCATACCTGGTCTTTTATGCGGAGATGCTAATGTAATCATGAGATAAATATCAGATGAATTAAATTTTTCATTTACTAAGAGACTCCTTATTATAATTCCTCCCTTTAAAAATACAATTAAATAAATAAATAAATTTTTAATTAAAAATTAAATATTTATAAGTAACGTGAGTATCGCGATCGCTAAAATGTTGAAACTGTGATATAATAAACTAACTTACATCGTTATAAATTAACCTTAAACTGAATATAAATAAATTTCTCAAAATACGGAAGAAACTACATTTAAAAAAAAAATTATAACTTTAAATAAAGTTGAAGTGTATTTTTATATCGGGATAAAGATATATTTTAAATTTGAACCTTTCACCATTCAGTTTGGGAACACAATTCAATGAGTCAGAACAAGTAAAA